AGGCTGATTTCCAGGTATTTAGGTCTTCCTAGCATGATTTACAGCCCTAGTTTTGCTTTCAGGATATACTTTCAAAAAAGAGAGAAGAAAAAGGATATTTGGCCTTGTTTGTGGAATCAATATAAAGTGTTACTTCCCTGATTTTTCACTTGAGGGCAGTGTAGGTGTGCTTATCTGGACAGTTTACATTTTTGATCTTCCAGGAGGAAACCTTTAGGAAACCTTCTAGTTGTAATAATAGATAGATAGATAGATAGATAGATAGATAGATAGATAGATAGATAGATAGATAGATAGATCCCCTAGGGGAAATTCATGAATAACAGATGAAGAATATTTGTTTAATCTCGTTTTGCTTCTAGTATTTAGTTGATGTGTTCAATGTGTTTGCACTGATGTTATAATAAGTGTGCTATATTAACAGTAAAGTAAAATAAGGTAATGAGTTAGAAAGTGATCGTTGGAAAACATGATGCATCTCCATAATTTCTTTTACCATAACACACTTTCAACTTTTGCTAGAAAGGACAAGACCCTTAATCAGTAAGAGTCACCTGTCCTTGCAATGCAGAGAGACACAGCGTGTCTGTTTTCAGTCAGCTGCTCTCTAACATTAGAATTAATGTGTCTCAGATGATTCTGTTTATTATGGACTGAATGGAAGAAAAAAAATCTTCAGCTGTTCTTCTCTTAGACAGTTGGGGAGGTTATAAGGACAAGCTCTCAGCATGTTGGTGGAGATCTCACAAACAAGATGCTCCCAGCGAGGGATCAGCATGTTCGCACTTCATTGTCAATTTCCACAGAATCAGCTGACAGTTGTATTATTCATGGATATCTTATCAAAGTGACTTACTTTTATAAATTATTTCTAAGCTGTCCAGAGTATTTAGAATTAAAATTAATATTATCACAGCACTAAATGATAAATGTCACATTAGAGGACTACTACTGTTTTATTGCTCAAAGATTTATGGCATTTAATAATCATATCATTGTCTCTCATCTGGAATGGAATTTCTTCTTTTCAAATGCAAGCACACACACATTCACGTAAACAAATTAAGTGCTGTCATAGCCTTTTGCCTGCAGTGCTTAATTGAATGATCTGAACAAGCAGTAACTACACTGTTTGTTCAAAGCATGCACGGCTCCTTTGCAGGAATAACACGAGCTGTAATACAATTATGGCACCACAGAGGCCTGCTAAAAACGAGATTATCAGGGTTCCATGGAACTGAGCCTCAGCCTTCAAGGAAATTGCCCTAACAGACACTGATGAGTATGAGCTAGTTCTATGTTAATACTCTTACATTCTAGAGTAACATGAATTGCATGTAATAATTCAGTTTTGCAGTGAATTATTCTATTAATGTATAATGTATCTAATGTTTTTTTGTTTTGTTTTGTTTTGTTTGGGGGGGGGCGGGGCAGAAAGTTGCTGCACAAGTGTAAAACAGAGCCTCAACTGAACAAATACATAGTGAAAAGTTCAAGGAGGAGGATGTTAGTTACAATCAGTGCAAAGTGCAGGTCAAGTATAAGCACTGCCTATAGAGGTTGACTGTCCAGGACCAGTAGACCCTGCTATGTGCTATGACTCTCCATTTTCCCCACATGAAGGATTTCATAACCGAATGACTCCAATTATCCATGTGACTTTGCAATAAATTGTGATCAGCAGCTGACTGGCTACTTTTCTCATTGGTACTCATGAACACAGTTGATGAAAGTTTCTTTCCAAGAATCTCTGGGCACATGATTGTAAAATATTCCCTTTTCTTTTGCACAGACAGTCTAGCTGACCTTAATTCACAGTATTTATTAGATTGAATAAACTATAGACTATTGTTGAAAAATCTCCATTTTAATGACATGCAATTTCCATGACTGTGTTTAATAATCTTTCTTATGGAGACGCATGCTAAGATTAGACCACATCTGGGACATCTGCATCCTGCCAGCTCTGTGCCAGAGATGCTGGGAGGTGACACATCTGCTGGAAGCTGTCAGCAGCCCTTTCACGTCATCACAGAGGCTGGGTGGGATGAGGCCAGCCACTTTGGGAGTGCTATGGAGGAGTTCAAGTGAAAGTGTCCTAAAGTCATCCAAGTCCAAAAGCTATCCAAAACTCCCTCGTTTGTCATAAAGCACAAGTTCAGTTTGAGCTGCAGCTGAGATTGTTTCCAAAAAGAGCTAGTATTTCACCTCTGAAATTCATACATGGGAAATTCTGTCAGGAGCCAGCATTTATACAAACCACTGGACCTTTGACCTTTCTCACAGATTTTACTGCTGCATAAGATTATTTTGATGTGACCTTTGAAAAAGGTCAACAAAAGTTTTTTTTATCATTATTTAATACAGAGATAACTATGAAAACAAAACATCCAAGCTATATCCATATATTTTAGACTTGAATATGACTTCAGCAAAGTTTTTTTGTTTGGAAACCCATTGCAACAGGGAGATATTAAACAAAAAATTAAAGTTAAATCCACTTTCATATATTACTAAAGGACTAAATGGCATGTACTACATGGCTCTAACAATAAAACCTCAATATTACCATTACCTGTAATCCTGATATAAGATATTAATGTGGATACTCAACAAGATTAACAGCATCATATTTACATTTCTATCTGAACAATAAGATAATAAGTTTTTGTTAGTGTGTCTTAATTGTATTTGTGAAATACTTTTCTGGCCAATAACCTTTTCTTTCAAAGGGTTAAAGGAACAACACAAAGCAAATCAGTCAAAGAGATATCAGTGATTCTGCCAACATGACAGGGATTTAACAAGCTTCTTCCTGTCTTGTGGCCAGTTCCCCAGGTGGAAATGGGTCAGAGCAACTTTCAATGCATCAGGCGGAAACAAAAGGCACAATGAAAAATGTAGAATGAAACAAACTCTCATGTGCACATACTAATCTGATACTTATCTTACCTGAACAGGACATTTTACCACCTTGACTACTGCCACATGCGTCATTTTACTCTGTGACACAGCTGTTATGTTCTAATATCTGTTCAATTACAGTAACAATGTGCATGTTATTCCAGTCAAATATGTTCAGCTGTTTGTGTGGGATGAGATTGTTAGGTCATGAAATGACCCACTTTTCAGAACTCATAAATGTGAGGTGTCAGAGCTTTCCTCACAACCCAAATGGTAAAACACTTGGCTGCATAATGCCTCACAAACTCAGATCTGGGTCACATATACTAACGCTGTAAAGTTCAACGTGAGGACTGAATGATTATTAAGTGTCTGGTAAGATCAATCTCACTACCACTCAGCTGAAGGTGTAACTAAAGAAAATGTTCACCAAATCTCACATCTAAATGTGCGCTTGAGTCTCATTAAAAGTCATTCTTAATTAGGTCCTCGCTGGCTGTGTCACGGCTGTGGTGTCTCTGCTGCGGTGTCTAATGAGAAATTGTCCCTATAGTATTTACCAGGTGTGGGTAACGTGTGTGTGTGGGAAGCAGAGGGGATTAACTGCTGAATCAATCATTTGATGACATCATATTGCTGTGAAATATAGGTCAATGAGGTTTAGTTCAAGAGATATGGCATTTCAACAACCATCACCATTAATACAGATTAATTAACTACATGTGGTTATGACTGGCATTAAGAAGATGAAGACCTGTGGATGAGGCCTAATATCACAGGATAATGGGTCAATGAAAAGATGGACCAGGAAAGGTTTATATTTACTTTTCTTATTGGCATTATATTGATGCCCAAAGAAAGATAGGCTAATGCATTTGTGCATGTTACCAGAGGAAATAGGCTGTTGCTCAGAAATACAGTATACAGGAAGCTGTGGTGATGCTTAGCCATAGCTTTTATCCTGTATCATTAATCTAATTTCAACATGAAGTAGCCATGTGTGCAGAGAAGGAAGAGGGATACCCAGATAAAAATGCATGACCTGATTACAGCTCATTACTGATCTATAGACTAGACATTTAGTGTAACTCATTGCGGTCCATTAGACAATATTTGTGTCATCATGCCCACTAATATTTACACAGCATCCAAGTGTTGCTCTGCATGCATGCACTTGTTGTCTCACACGAGTAGACATAGGAGGCTGAACTGAGGTATAGATGCTTAAGGTTGCTAAGTAGTGGGATGCATTTTTCCCAACGCCTCACAGGTCAGGTTTGTTTGTTCTGTGTATCAGTAGATTGCCTGTGGCCTAATTCTAGGGAAATATAGGTTATCAGGAGTTTAATTCAAAAGAGAATCCATTGAGGGATCAGTCTCACATAAATGGCAGGATATCTAAAACCTCTTCAACTGGGGTACCCTGAAAAAATTATTAATTGATTTAAAAAACTGAATTAATTTTTGTGATTAAATGAGTTATGAATCCTATAATTTGCCAAAGTGAAGCAAGTATAGTAGACATTAAAACTTTTGGCAATACTGACATTCTACCACCTATCATTGGTTTTTTGTTGTTGTTGTTATTGTTGTTGTTGTTGTTGTTTTTTGTAAAAGAAGTGAAATAATAGTTAAAACCTGTTATTTTGGGCACAGATAAAATAGAAAAAAAATAAAATAAAGAACCCAGCACTTCAGTCTCCTAATTACTTTTAATAACTCAGCACACAAAATAGCCAAGATTTTTAATATACATAATATTTAGCGGGTTAATTTGCTTAATTTTCTAAATATTTATGAATGTTTATAAAAACTTGGGGTCATTCCCTTTGTCAAATGTTTGTTATACACTTTTATATAGGCTACAGCATATGGTCATGCAACTGATCGAGCAAATTGATATTTGAAGTAGTGCCATTTGAAGTCAACAATTATTTTGTATTACAAATAGAAAGATAAAATATAAGATAAAATGTAATCACCTTTTTATGTAGTCCTCAAGTCATAAAACAATTTAACTATCAATTTATTTACGCATGGACGTTTCCTGTGTAGTGTCGTCATCTTGTGATGTATGACGTAAACTATCTGCGCCGCCGAGCAGGATCGTGATGGCGGTGGCTCAGCCGAAGCTAGAGAAAGAGAGCGAGGATTGCTCTTTGCTGCCTTTGGTTCATGATATTATCAAATGGTGAGATGACTGACGTGTGTTAATATTACATGTTTCTTCGCTGCTCTGTGGCTTCTTGTTTTCGTGTCTTCGTTCAGTCGCTTTGGTGGATTTGGTGAACTTGTTATGTTAGCTAAAGCTAACGTTAGCTATTACATTTAGAACCACTTGAAGCAACAATATACAAATATAACATGTTCTCTTTAAATCACCGTTGTCTTTATTTACAAGCATGGACAAGGACAGCCAAGATGTCCACCAAGAACTGGCTAAACTGAAGGCTAAGATCCAGGAGGCTCGGGAGCAGATCTCCAACATGCCCGGGATAGACAGCAGTCCGGTGGAGCAGCAGCAGCAGCTGGCCACGCTGCGGGAGCAGGTCCGCACCAAGAACCAGCTGCTGCAGAAATACAAAAGTCTGTGCATGTTTGACGTGCCGAAAGCATCGTGAGACTGAAAACTGGATTACTACAGGAAGGACTTTGTTTAGCTACATCCTCACCCATGGGACAGATAAAGGTGAGAGTGCAGAAGACTAGGTGGATGTTTAAATGAACAAGGACTGAATTTCTCTCAGTTCATTGCAGTGAACGATGTTTTTGAACGTCAGACAATGCCCTTTTTCTGTCCTTATTTTTTTTGCATTGCGAAAATGCAATGTGGTATTTGTATTCAATGTAATTTTTCAGTGTCATGCTCTTGTCTTGTAACACTCCTACTTTGTAATAAAATGAGTTGATTAAGAACTCTTCGTCTTAAAGTCTTTTTGACTAAGCTGTCATACACACTCATTTAAGCCTATGGCCTTCACTTTTAATTAAGCATGTCTGTGACACAATTAAGCTATCAGTATTCACAGCCATAATTAATTCTTTGTTGATTTAGACCTAAAGAGCACCATAGGTTTATTAAGAATCCAATGATTCATTACTAGAGTAAATGTATCCACATTTAACAGTTGGGAGCAGGGAGGCAGAAATTATGAACAATTAAATCTGAGTGAAAGTGCTTGAATCAGTGTATGTTCAGGGTCTCTAATGGACTCAGTTCATTATGTTCCACTTATAATAGTTGCTTATGTATATGATGATGGGATGAGGCAGAATGTGATGCATTTATAAAAAGGAGGCCATATTCTAGTAGAGGGAAACTGCTTAATGAAATCTGCAGAAAAGTGTATATTTTAGCCTGTGGAGGGTTTCATGTAACTTCATTGTTTTGCTTAAAAGGAAAGAGAAGAGGAAGGCAGATTATGAAAGTAACAAGTGTTTTTATTTTCTCTTTTATGCAAAAGTTGACAGACTTAATAAATACACATTTAGAATAAAATTTGTTCGTAATGCAACAAACATTCAAGTTCCATCAAGTTTGAAAAAAAATAGCAAAAATGTAAACATTTTTTCTCAAGTGCTGCTCTTGGTAAGCTAATGTAGAGGCAGATTTTACAGCATTTTCAGACCATCTACTGTATGACTACATCACTTGTCCGTTGAGTCTCAGCCCAGTTTGAATCACAATGTGTCGCTGTAATCTACTGTTGATGGGCGTGTGGGTCCTGTATGCAGGACGGCTGGCTTCTCTTTCAACTCTGGAAAGTCTCTCAGAAAGTCTCTTGCACGCTGGCAAAAAAAAAAAAGAGCTGTCAGCATATGACGCAGCCTTTCTCTTTGGCCTGGCTGCCTCCCACAGCTTTCTCCTTTATGTACATCAAGTCACTGTGCACGCTGGGCCTCCGTGCAAACGGCGCCACAATCCCATATGCGTTCCCGTCTTTGCACTTCTTGTTTCTGAAGGACTTTCTGTGGAGAACCTCGCAGTACTGCAGAGAAACTTTGCAATGCTGGTCGGGACTCATTTCGTTGGGCAATTTGGCCAAAGTAAAGAGAGTCTGAAACATCTGGTCTACGTTGGTGTTCTTCTTTGCTGAGATTTCAAAGTAGGCGCAGTGCTCTTCCCCGCCGACTAACTGCTCGATCTCGTCCTCCTGCACCTCACGGTAGAAGTCCCTGTCACACTTGTTGCCGCAGATGACCAGCGGGACGTCCACGTTCTCCTTGGTTTTGTTTCGTAGGCAGGACTTGGTCTCATAAATCTGGCGCTTCAGGCGCTGCACCTCCTGGAAGGAGTCTCTGTTGTCCAGACTGAAGACCAGAATAAACACATCACCTGTAAGACACAAGAGAAGAAACATTTAATGCAAAGCAATAACATTTTAATAGCAACCTATGAACTCCGTAGAGAGCAGCGTGGTGCAGGATTGAAGTGGCTTTGAAGGCTCAACTCACCAGTAAGAATTGAAAGCCTCCTCATTGCAGGGAAGGGGTGATTTCCAGATGTGTCCAAAATGTCCAGCTGGTAAACGTCTCCCCTGATGCTGTAGAATTTTCTATGAAAGTCCTCAATAGTCGGCGTGTACTGATCATCAAACCTCTCGTTCAGAAACCGAGAGATGATGGCTGTCTTCCCAACTTTCGTGGAGCCCAGGATCACCATCCTGTGGCAGTTCTTGGCCGGTATGTCGAAATCATTCTCAGCTGGTGACATTTTCTTAATCATGCTTGCAGCGGTTGCACGCGGCGGTGGACGGTGCTGTGGGCAAGAGATGGTTTTTAAATCCTCTCAGGGATGTGAGGGGTCTGACCTCGCTACCTCTCTATGGAGCTGGAGGAGAGCAGGCTGGCAATTTATAGGGGCAGTTTGCCGCGCCTCCCCAATGCGTCATGCGTCAATCCCCAGCTTGGGGAGCTGGAGCAAGACCCGAAATCATAATGTTACTATGGCTGTTTGTGTGCGTCAGCCTTGCCCACCCCTCATGAACAGAAAAAGGGGAAAGATACAGGCTTGTTTTCAAATATTGTGCTTCATTGTTTGATCATTTTCAGCATCATATTTACAGAATAACAGCCTATAAAATTGAGATAATATCATTTAAAAATGTTAAAATCTCAAATCAAACTGGTGAGAGATTATATCAGTATGCACACATTTGCTTGTAGTGTTGTAGTTTTAATGGCATTAGACAAAATCATGCATGCATCTCACATTAACCTCTTAAGGGTCTTTTTTTTGCCGCTGTAGAAGCAGATCTACAACCAGCTCAGGCAACAGTCAAATTGCTCACGAACACAAGCTTCCCCAGTCATCAGTAATAAGTAAACAGACTTTTTCCTTCAGGAGAAAGCAGCTGGAATATGTGAGGAGAACGGAAGGGGGCGCAGCTGCACACACAAGCATATCAGGCATGTTGGAGGGGGAAAAGCGTGTTTTCCTCCCAGAAACCTCACAGCGCCAGTATGTTTTCCAAACTGCATTAATGTGTCAGTCTATTGAGATGCTTTATATTCCTAACTGAGAGAAATGTTATTATAGCCTTTGTTACGTTCATTTATCACACTGTAGCACTCTCAGTGCATATATTAGATTCATGTTGCTCTTATCTATTGTATTTGTTCTCTTATTGCTGATTTGAATCTATTTCACCTCTTTATTTATTTTGGATTTTTATCATTGCTGTTTATCATATGTGCATTAGTCACTACATTAGTTTTATTATCAGCCCTTTGAAATGCCCTAACCTGTATGGAAGGCATTTTACACATAAAGCTTGATTACATTTGATACATAACAACGTTATATTGTTATTCTGACCATTATCCTTATCAGCAGGAGAGCTGAAAGTCTCATAGAATGTAATGTAATAACATTTTCCTTTCTTTAAGGAAAAAGTTTCACTGGTATTAAAATCTGTTTCCAAGAGTAATTGCCAAAAGAGAAGCATAAAACCACTGTTAGAAACAGTCACATGAAGGAAAACATTACCCAGTTCAGATGAATAAAAAAGAAAAAATATGCTCTGAGGGTTTAAGAAGATATTTAATGGATTTATCCACTTTACCTTCACTTCTCCTCACTCCATTTGCCTTCTAAAAATAAAAGGTTGGCCAAAATGTCAGATCATCATCAATGTAAGTAACAATGTACAAACGTCACAATGGGGGGAAAAAACTGCAACTGAGGAACAGTTGTAACTGTGTAACTGGAGCCTGGAAGCCATCCAATCCAATTTGTATTGACTCTCTCATATGTGTTAATGGAAGTACCCCACAGACGGCCTAAAGATAGAACCCGCTGTTTGTGACTCAAACTCAGCTCATCCACTTTGCCACCTTAACCACTTATCACCTTTCACTTATGTTCTCACCTGTGAATGAGAGTAGAGAGAGAAGGTTTTACTTCCAAACAGAAAGCTTCAGCATCTAACACATAACATGACCTGTAATATTTACAGTGTAAAAGATCTACACTTTTAGACTTTATTAGTTCTGTCTTTTTCTTTTTTCAGATTTGTGACAGAGAGTTGACCTGATATCCACTGGGCCTGCTTTTTTTATGATGTCTGTGCTCTGTTTATATTTACTTATATATTATATTATATTATAATAATAGTGAAAACAAGTTACAAGTTAAGAAATAATACAATTTAAGGTAATAGAAAATACCAACCAATCCTCTGAAAGGAAAAAAATCACAATAATGGATAACATTATGGAACTATCTTCTTTTTCTTATGTTTAATTTAAGATAGTGATCATTTAACTGCAGTGGTAGTTGACTGCTGTCAATATGTCAAGATTCCCTGAGTTTACAAACTTGCTTCACTGGATTAAGCTGAAGCAGGACAGCTGTCAGCAAGGTTCACTTTCCTTTTCTCCCTCCCTCTATGCTCTAACTACGCTTAAAATAGCCTAATAATTTAAGAAAAAAAAATCACATTTTTCACAGTGTCCACAACAGTTCATATATGTCTTGGTATTTACCTTGATCTCATGTGAAACCTAAAACTTGCCAGCATGGATGGCCTTTCTAAGCCCTCTGTGAGGCATCCAGGATGAAATCAGATAGGTGTACTTAAGCCTGGTTGTTCAAGTCTTGAGCGATGGGTTTGTGTAACCAGGGTGGAGCGAAACCAGCGCTTCACCCTTGACTATTGGTCAGTAATTAAGCCAGTGTGTTCCCAGGATATGTATAACAGGACACGTGCAGAATGGCTAGTCCTGCAGGGCTCTGATATGACACTGCCTGCATGAAAACATGAAGTCCTCAAAAGGACTTTTTAAAAAAAATATTCTGCTTATGATATTAAAGATCTTAAATAAGGTAATTAAGGATATTGAAAAATGCATTTAAAAATATCCAAAAAGTCTGCCTCAAATATCTCAAAATATGTGTCAAGGGTCAAAAGCATGGTTTTCAGATTAAAATGGATATTTGACAAATTATTCAATTTCTCAGTAACAGCTAATGACATAGAGCAGGTCAAGGCAAGAATTCAGCTGGCAGAGTTTCTTTATTTGTTTGGTCAGAGGAAGAGAAACATCAACATTTTCACTACTAATTCTCTTGAACCTCGAGGACAAATCCACAAACCCTGGTTGCTCACCTGAGAACCGGCTCAGGGTCAGATCTCGGAGGGCACAAACACACAGTACAGCAGTACAGTATAATGCGTCATTTAGGCATCTTTGTCTGTGCATGTCTCGACTCTCGTCTTCAGTCTTGAACCATGTTTGTGTCCCAGCCTGTTCTGTTACTTAGCTGGACCTCGACACATACACTGTCCTGGCAACGTGGCCCTCAAGCCGAGTAAACACACCAGCTGCAGCCCACTCAGGCCACGGCCAAACATACACATTAGACTCATTTCCTTCTCAGCCTTGTTTGTCTTCATCAATTAGTAAAGAGGAGAGAAAAGACTGGGATGAAATAAAAAAGATGCTGTGGCCCTCTGTTAGGACACAGCGCTTCACAGCTGATGTAAAAACAATTTTTTTTTTCTTTTTAATCTAGTGATGTTACTGATGTTCCATTTTTCAGTGTAGGCGCATCAAAGCCACGTTTTATTGTGACGAATCCTGTAAAAAAAAGAAGAAGAAAAAAAAAAGAAGTAGGACCAAGGATTGTCTCCATATTTTTGCTAGTGAAAATATCATAAAGTGTGATGACGCAGATGTGTCAGACCGTGGAGAAGCACTCTGAGTCTGTAAGCAGAGAAGAGCTACAGAGATTTTTTATAATAAATGTAGTTTAACCTCATTTGCATTTTTATGGATGAAGCATTATGTGGCTAAAGCGTGAAAACCAGCTGAAGAAACCCACTGACTGACTGATTTCATAAACAGCAGCGATGTTTATGGTATTATAGCACATATGCTAGAAATCTGACTGCAGACAGAACAGTAACATTTTCGGCGTTGTGTCATCACCCCCCGTCTCTTCTGACGACAGCTCACACATGAACCGCCACGTGTGCGTAACATGCTTGACACATCATCAGTTAGCGAGAAGTCCAATTAACAGTCGGCAAGAGCATATGTACATGTGTGTGGGCATGTAAATGTATTGTGAGTGACTTAGTGAATGTATGTGTGTTTAAGTGTGTTGGTGGAGGTACGTAGAACCGCGTCGACTTGCATGGCTCTAAGGTGTGTGTGGTTCTTTTTTCGCCCAAATCACAGAGGTGATGTGGACCAAAATGTCAGTGTACCTGCAGTAATGTGCCCTAACAGCAAGGCCAAGAAAGTCTGCTGGGTTTAGTTGTTTTCCAGAGTATTTTTCACGACTCATGAACAAGCCGTGTGACAGTGAGACGGTGAAAACTTTGGATGCTTCCAAAGTTTCCCCCAGATATTCTCCTGTAATTTTCTTCAGGTATGACACACACTTACTGTGATTTTTGCAGTTTCTTGCTCAAAGATAAATGTCAAATGTCAAAACACACTTCAATACAGTCCTTGTAGACGTGGTCTGTTTTGCATTTACTTCCATATCTCTTCATTTGTGCAATTGCATCCGAATACGGTGACACATGCAAAAATCACTTCCAATCAGTACTGCACAATTTCACTCATGTGGTACTACAAAAACATGACTAACTGAAATGGCCATAAACTAATGGTCACAAATTTGGTGCCCTTTTTTTTTTTTTTTTTTTTTTTTTGCATGGATTTTTAACAACCTGAAAATTGTTAAAGAGGATTTTGGAATTTTTTGAAAACATGATAGTCTATCACTGAATGAATTGTGATGTCGATTGAGACCCAGATGCAGATTACCATCTTTAAAGATTTTTCTACTTATAATATGACCATGAAGTAATTTATGCACCTCCCACCTGATTTAACACAGGACTTAATTACATTCAATATTCACTGGTATGAACACCAGATAAAGTCGACTGTGGCAAAGAGTTGAGGTTTGTTTTGTTCTGTGTTCCATTCAAAAACTCTAATCTCGCACAATGAAAGGTTTCAAAACTCTTTGTGTCCGTGTAATTTGTTTACATGCTCCACTTTGTTTGCAGCTAGCTAAAAACAAAGATGCAAAAAAAAGCCAACGTTACCACCCTGGTTCAAACAAAAGTTAATTGACAAAATATGAAACACTGCGGTAACTGGCCTGCAGGGCTAACTGGCAGTGTTTACTGGAACAACCAAGAAAAGAGAATTCTAAGAAACCCAACTCTCTATGTTCCACAGATGGATGATTTGTTTAAACCATCAGTTTTTTTCTCAGCAGAATCACTGATGTTCAGTTGAATATCAGTGAGATAAGATCTGCCAGTAGTGGACTCGTGGTGTAAGG